ATGTCTCCGGTGTGGATACCAACTAGTTGGACATGTGCTACCCGGCGATTATCCAGTCGGGTGGCAATTACAGCTTGAAGTTCATTGTATTCAGCGACAACTGCACTTCGGATTGATCATCTGTGTTCTGGGTACGCGTTACAAGTCCTGCTGCTTGTATTCCAAAATGGAATACCCCAAGCTAAGACGTTCGGTTTTGCCATCGGGTTGGAGTTCCGGGATAATTCGATCAAAAAACGTTATGTTGAGGCAACGGCTCGAGAGTGGCAAGATGTGGCCTTGTAAGGATTCTACTTTCAGCAGCAAATCACCAGCACTTGGGTGATTTGCTGCTGAAAGTAGAACCCTTACAAGGCCACAATTGGTAATCTGCCAAACCAAACTCACTTGAACAATAACGAACAATCACAGCACAATACAAAAATCAAAAAACCACTTATTCCATCCGAAAATAAAACTACTCTTTTACTTAATTATAATTTAAATATAAATCTCACTTCAAATTTACATACTTCGCATCGGTGGTTAGGCCACAGAAGTTACCCTTCACCGCCATCAAAGCATATCCATCGTTGCCCCAGTAGTTGGACCAGGATTTCTTGATTAGCCAGTAATCTTCTCCTTTGGACCACTGCATGATCCAATCTATCAAAATTGTTCTTGCATTCCGGTTCGTAGTACACCTCATTTGCGTAGTAGCTGAAATACTTGTGACCGGCATCCATAGCAATCGACAGCCCTCGGAAGCCTACATTTCAAATTTAAATATGAACCGAGAAGTGAATTGCTGAGTATATTTAATTAGAATATGTTTCTGAAATACACAGTGAATGTTGTGAACAACTTCAATGACAGCTGTCCAGCAGTGCTCCCATTTTATGTAATGATCAATCCAATGCTTAAGAGGTTGTACCAAAGATGTGCCGATTGTTTTCCCAGATTCGGCACACTGTACTGAGTGACTTACCCCTTGAATTCTATCATATGAATTTTATGTGAATTTCCGACAAAAATCATTCATTGTTTTATTGGAAAATATCACAGCAAATCTGTGCATTTTGACGGTTCAATTGGAACAACTTTAGACAGACGTCCATACTTTTGCTAAGAGGACTTTACCATACAGTCGTCCGATAAATCATGGCTCATAACGTGTCGCTTTGAATGCTCCCTACACCAAAAACATATCGTAGTACACTGCGTGTTGAGGACGGTAAAAATTTCGGACAGTTTTCAACATAGCTTGATGAAGATTAGACTTAGTTTTTGTTTTATGATCTACGAAAGATCAATTCAAGCAGAACCAAGAACCACGCAAGCCGGAATAGTTGTTTGCCAACTTGTGGGCAAGAAAGTCCGACTCCGAAAACGTCGCACAAGAGGAGAGTCATGCTCTGGACGGCCATGGTTCGGTTTGCTACCATCCGATGTTTGATGTCGTTAGCTTCCAGCATCCATTTCTAGTGGATTTTTGCAAAAGGTCTTATTTATTTCTTGACAATAATTCGAGTATAAAGTTCGTTTAAGACTTTTTGAAATCTTCAACTAGATATTTGACATCGTTTGTTTTGAAGGCGAATAATAGCAGCAGAAGACTTATACTTCACTGTTGTTGATTTTAACTGCCTTGAATACTAAAACCCAAATCAAACATCGAGATGCAGAATAATGTTTCCTCATCATCGGAGTCACAGTCAGGTTGCCGCTCCAAAATGCAGCAAGAAGTTGCAGATGTAGCTCTGCATCTTCAAAACATCATTAACTTCCAAGAGCTGATTACAACTCAATGCAAGAGTATTGAAGAGGAAATGCGATGTGCTTCCACCAGAATTTCCAGACTGGACCGAAACTCAGATCGATCCCTAAAAATATCAGATTTTTACGGCAGTTTCGAGTAAGGCCCTGAGCAGTTCACATTTGAAAAGGGCCTACAACTAAAATGTAAACAAACCAGAAAGTAGGCTGTAAATAATCTATGCCATTTTCTCGGCTTTTTAATCATTTTAATTCCTACCTCGCGTTTTAAAAGAGCCAACAACCAACTAAAACAAACCAGAAAATTGATTGTAAATAATCTGCCTATTTCTATTCCTATATCAGAAAATCAAAGGTTTCTTGGTTAGCTTTTCTATAGTTCAGTATGACAATAATATCTGTATCTCAGCATACAACATTTAACTAATACATGGTTGGCTTTTTTAGCATTCGGGCCAATACATGATTTGAAAAATTTCTTTGATCGGCTGTTTTGAAAATCGAGTTATTTATAATGATTTTTACTGGTTATGCGGAACATTCCTACACAATTGGTAGCTATCAAGCGGTGCTATAGAATGCTATCAAAAGCCGATTTGTTTACATTTTGATTATAGGCCCCTTTTACATGTTACGTGGGATATTAGACTGATGCAAATTTTGACATTTTCGCTCCACAATGCTCAAACGGTTCCAAATCGGGTCCTGATTAGTCTCCCTAAATTTGAACTCATTCGATAAGAAACTGACTTGGCACAAACCATTTGAAGTTTATATGGAAATTACTATAGGAAAACCAAATGTTTTGTTCATATCCATCTAACAATTTACCATATTGCTCTACTTTAAAAAAAATGATAACTGAGCTCGTAACAAATTTTCTCAGCTACAATTTTGTCCACAACCACTTTTCAATATAATGTGAGCATCAAAAGTTATCAATAATTCAAGCCACTAATGTCTTATGATTATGCTCAAACAACTGTTCAGCAGGCAACATTGGTGTTTCTGGCGCTTGGAATAGAGCACAAAAATCATGGCTACTATGTCACACTGCAAGATACAGTGTTGCTCACAAAACAGCTGCTTGATCATGCCATAAGATTATCAATCTCTTAAACAATTAATAACTATTTTATTTGACGTTTGACTCAACAACTTTATTCTGCTAAGTTGAAGCTGAGAAAATTTTCCATAATTATAGTTTCTGAATTTTTGAACAGTGCAATATGGAAAAAGGTAAGAAGACAATGAACAAAAAGTTTGGATTTCCCATAGTAATTTCCATATAAACTTCAAAAGGTTTGTACCAAGTCAGTTTCTTATCAAATGTCAAAATTTGCATCAGTCTAGAGGGATATGCCTTGTTCTTTATTTTTCCGATGCAGATCAGAGCAAATCAGAGTTACTGTGAGTAACTCTCAGCTAAAGAGACACTCGAATTAAAGCCGTCTTCCCCCTTGGTACAATATACGTACAATAAATCGATTGTTGGCAATAGATTTTGATGTAATTGTATTTTATTTTATGGTAATTGTATGGTATGGTTATTTTTTCCGGGCCGCTTAGTAATTTACCAATGCATGGAATGAGCTCACGAACAAATTTGACGTTTGAGCGGTGCCGTGTTTACTAAAAATGAACGCATGACGTAACACTCGCGCAATTTTAGAAAAGGGCCTATTAACATTTACAAACAACTTGTTAGGCCCTTTTCGTGCGAACCGAAGAACGCCCACGCAAACCAAGTAAGCACGATTCCCTGCCATAATGCGTCTTAAGCTGGGTTTAGACTAGGCTAGTCAAATGATCAACTCAGTTGAATTCAATTGGCTTGAAAAGTTGAGCCTGGTTCAAGTTTTTTCAATTCAAGTGAGTTGATCAAGTCAGTTGAATGGCGTGGTTTACACGTTCAATTCGTGTTCAAGTCAGTTGAATTCAACTGACTTGATCAATTGACTTGCCCTGTCTAAACCCAGCTTTAGAGTTAATTCCGCCGGGTGTTTAATATTACGTTGTTCGATGTATACCGATTTTGCCAACAAAATTTACATCCATTAATGTAATATTGTATCTGCTTTTTGCCATTACATCATTATTTCATACATCTGCTTGAATTACGTTGATTGATATTAGATTTTACTCATTGAGTAAAATTTTCCGAGCTTTACACGGCACATGAGAACAACCTAAATTTGAGTTTAGTGGACTCATAAATCACATAAAGTGCAGGAACTCAGAGATTAGTACATTTGCCTCATGATTTCCAGGTTTCTCCAGGTTTTTCCAGATTTTTCCAAGTTTGTTCAGGAAAAACTTCCAGAATATGAGAAATTTAAAGATTGGATTCGCTCAGTCTATTGTTACTACCCCTATACTGAGTAAAATTTTCGACAATTTTCCTCACTATCCGGCAGATTTTTTTTAGGTTTTCCACAGGAAACCATGAAGCCAATTCACTCATCGCTGAGTTTCTGCACTTTTGCCGATAATGAGTGAACTAAACTCAAATTTTGGTTGTTCTTAATCGCCGTGCAATGCACTAGGTAAACACGGCGAATGAAAATAACCCAAATTTGAGTTTAGTTAACTCATAAATTATATAAAGTGCAGGAACACAGCCACGAGTAAATTTGCCTCACGTTTTTCCAGGTTTTTCCAGGATAAAAATCCCGAATATGAGAAAAGTAAAGTTTGGATTCTCTCCGTCATTTGATACTTCTCCTAGACTGAATAAAATTTTCGACAATTTCCTCATTTTTCGGTAGATTTTTTAGGTTTTCCACAGGAAACCATGAGGTAAATTTACTCATCGCTGAGTTCCTGCACATTTGGCGATTATAAGTGAACTGAACTCAAATTTGAGTCGTTCTCATTCGCCGTGTAGCAAAAACGTGATGAAATTTTTCCTTAATTAAATAATAATAAATAATAAATGGATCGCCCCTAGGAGGAAATCGTATGAGGTTTCGCTCTGTATATTAGTATGCCCCTAGAGTGAGTAAAATTATCGTCGATTTTTCTCATTTGCACGAAGTTTTTCCAGTAAAACCTCGGAAAATTGCACTTAAGTGACTAAAATTATCGCTAGTTTGAGTGAAAGGATATTTGAAAAAACGGAGCTCAAATATGAGGGAGCTTCAACGGCCGTGCACCGATTCCCGTCTCCGCTAGAAGCTTTGCATCGCAATCGCCATCTATCCGCCGACACGAATTATCAGTTTTGACAGCCAAAGTGGGAAAAAGTCGTGCTCAGATCGATAGTGCATTCAATTTCGTAATTTTTACATGAAAATATCCGTCTAAAGGCTCCGGGAATCGACGATGAACCGTGCGCAGGTGGTCAGCCTGCTGGAGGAACTGAAGAAGTCACCGGACAAAACCACCATCTACCGTAAGTTGGTGCGAATACGCACGGAGGTCATTGACACGGAAGCTGGAACGCAGCTCTTCTACGCCCTGGATGGAATCCGACTGCTGGTGGCCCTAATGGCCAAACCGTACGAAAAAGTGCTGGAAGTGGCCCTCAGCATCCTGGGGAACTGTTGCATGCGGAAGGAGTGTGCCAAACAGGTAAGCTGGGTTTCGGGGATTTTATTGATTTTCAGCTTCCTCCATCAGTGGCAACCACTGAACGAAATTGGAACACTGGTTTTCAATGGATTACATGATTTGTTTTTAGGCATTCGAGGAAGGGATCCTGCCACCGCTTATCTCCATCATTGCCAACATTCCGAATCCGGCCATTCAGTGTCGTGGTTATCGGCTGCTGGGAAACCTGGCGCAATTTCCGGTAATCGCGTACGCCATTGGAAAGGATTGCAACAACACAACGTACGCCATATCGTCGATTCTGACCGACTCGAACAACACTGCCGTCCTGATAATGGCCATCCGAGCCGTTAGACAACTGTGGAATGAGAAAACCGTTCGCAATCTTTTGATAAGCCAGGGATGCATTAAGAAGATCATTGACTTGCTTGTTAAATTTGCTCGCAATGAAGCCAAGGAATTGAATAGCCCGGACAGTCCCACCGAAGAGGAAACCATGGGAGAAGAAACGGAACGAGTCGTAATCAAACGGATGCACGCTCCGGATCGGACGATTACGAAGGAAAAGTTTAAAAACATCGTACGCCACATGGAGAATAGTCATCACTGCGACATCGTTGGGTACCAGCTGATCAAGAGCTATCGCTGGAAGGATTCTCTAGATTTCAAGATGCCGGAGGCAAAGGAAACCATAGAACTGTTTACCGGGATTTTAAAATGTCTGCAAACGATTACAACTACGACGAGTGCGCAGGTTGCCGAAGAGCTTTACGGCGAGCAGGATTGTGGAATCAAATGTCTGGTGTTCCTGTGCTCTGAGAGCAGCCAGTTCCGGACGTTGGCCCTGAAGATAGTGTACCATCTGGCGTCTAATCCGGATGCGATCAATAAACTCACTGCCTGTGATGTGATAACGGTTACATCGGATCTGATTATGTATGCCAATCTAGGTGGGTTCCCTTTGGAAGTTATAATTTTGCAGTTTTGTGACTAATCACTTTCTTTTTTCAGATGATTCCGAGAAGCGTTACTGTACGACTGTGATATGTCTGCTGGCGAAGGAAGCTTGCAACCGGGGTCATATCCGGCGCAGTGGCGCCCTGCAAGCCCTCATGAAACTAGCCAAACAGTGTAAAGAAAAGCACGAACTTAGTATAATCCTGTACGCACTCTACCAGTATCGGTTCGATAATCTCAGCTACGAAATTCTCCTGAACAACGGCTTGGTAAGCTTTCTGGTAGGAGTCCTAAACACCATAATAGCCGAGAAGGAAGTGAACCACATCAAACATGACGACGAGGAAACTATGAGCACCAGTGTCTACTCGAAGCGAAGGTCCAGCAGCCAGAAGGCCAAATTGAAACGGAGCGATGAACTATTCAACTTTAAAAAATCGAGCTACTACCGGCATTCGAAGGTGGCCAAAATTGATCCGTACTGTTCGGCACCGGAATCGCCGGAAAGTGGAAGCAGCGGGTACGCCAGCACCAGCTACAATGGCGTTCGAAACCCGCCAAGTAACACTTCCAGTCCGGCTAGGACCGACGATAATGATGATTTTGACGACGACGATGACGATATCTATTCGCCGGTTTGTAGCGACACGGAAGAAGATCCTGACACGGTGGTTGCCAATTCGGAGGAACGTGTTGCTGCGGAAGTGGAAACAATCGACGATAACACTGAGGATGCCAAAGCCGTCGAGTTTGACATCCTAGCCTATCTGTACGATGACAACTCGAACACGAATCTGATGTCCGCTACGGACCTGGACCGGGAAGAGGAGGCACCCCTCACCCAGACCGAACATCGACCTCGGAACCATTGTAGCTTCGACGACGCAATTGACGATAACGAAATCCATGACATCGAGCTGGAGATTGTCTCGTCGAAGGCGTTCGAGAAGAACCCGATGCAACCGATACTGACGCTGCTGTGGTCGATTTCCAAATCGCACAAAGGCTTGGAGTTTGTGCACCCGGGAACGCTGTCGACGATGCTGAAGATTTGCAAGCTCACGAAGAAGCCCCGGGGACGGGCCTTCCAGACTATTGCCAACATTATAAAGCACGTGGATCATTTCTTGCCGCTGCTGAAGCAGGACTTTGTGTTCCGGCTGCACGATTGCAAGACGCCGTACAGTTCGCACTCCAGGTGTTGGAGCTGTGATGAGGTGAGTGGTGGGTGGGTTTGTTGCGTTTGGGTGTTTTTCCCTTTCTTACAAAGAATGGTATAGAGTATACGCCTTTTTAACACAGTGAACAGACGTTCAAGTTCGGTCAGAAACTTGTGTAAAATAAATGGGAACGTCGCCGTTACGTGGTGTTAGCATCTCCTGATTTTCTCTATAAAATTTCCACTTTCGACCAATTTGCCGCTAGTATCGATAAATTTTCTTAGTGTCTAGTGTAATTTGTGCAACGCCAGCGCCATCATGTTGTCAAAGAGAGTTTTTAAGTGGGGAAGTCGCCGTTAGTGGCGCTTAAGTCGAATAGGAATCTTTACACAAGTTTTTAGAGAAATTTTGTTCGAGTCTCCATGTCTGTTCTCTGTGTCTTATCTTTACACAAGTTTTTGACCAAAGTTGGACGTCTGTTCTCAGTGATCAAAGTATGCTCACCAACAAACCGACATGAAACTTAAACTTAACTCTTGATCGAGAATCCATAACGGCCGATTTAAATGTGCAGCGATCCCATCTGTCAAAGCCATAGAAATGTTTTATCTAGATACAAATAATTTGTCCGAAATAGGTTAGACACTAACCAACTCATAAATTTTGTACGCGTGTTCGTAGATAGGATACATATTTTCCGCGAATACGGCGGCAGATGTCAGTTTTGTGCTTTGATCAGAAATTTCTTTGTAATTTGTATGATCATTCATGTCGGTTTGTCGGTGATACCAGCACCAAGTAACCACAGAGAACAGACGTTGAGGCTCGAACAATATTTCTGTTGGAAAATGTATAGAGAAAATCAGTAAGTTGACCAGTTGACAGCTGGTAGTTCATCGTACATGTAAAATGCGCACGCTTGCTGTGAATTAGTTCACCCGTTGGCTCTCATCATTGAAAGAGGCGCTGTTTCAGTGATGCGAAGTTTCCTTCGAAATGAGCTCTCTATTATAATTATTTCTCTAAGCTTAAAGCTAACGCTGTGCTAGGTGGGAGATGTTGAAACCTGGAGGGGGACGTGCTGTAAAATCAGCCTACTGATCATTCTTGTATGAAATTGGTTCCAAACGTAAACAAACCATGTAGGTTTCTTATGGCTTGTTTACGTTTGGAACCAGTTATACGAGGTAGGCGAAGATTGTTCGTATTTGACAGCCACATCCCACCCCTGGTTGAAACCCAATTTCCTCTTGCATCGACTGAGTTCGTTGATGCGGAAAAAGGGGTATTGCATTGATAGGTAAAAGAAGATGGTCCTCTCTGGTCAAATTAACGAGGAAAAGTATAGTGGCATTATTTCAGCGGATGAGCTTCCTGTCGTATGGATCGATAGCAGATAGGGAAGTGAAGTAATCAGTAAGAGCATCGGCAACGGTTGAGGCGAGGGATCGCGCATAAGGCCGTTACGCAGACAGACAGAAAACCACAGACAAACAGACGTAGCTCTTAAATCTGGATCATCGTTCACGAACTTAACGATTGATTTGAAAATTATCATTTCAGCGAACTACTCACCGGTGCGGAATCGGATAACTTTCACGTTTCATTCTGTTCACCTGGCATGCAACACTGTTTATGACTTGGCCAGGGCTTGAAAGGGGATCGCATATCGACTGTGACTGCGTGATCGCGTACGTTTTCTGCATTCAATGTGCGCAGCAAGCACGTTGGTTTGGCTGGCAAAATGGCGCAGTTGTTCTGTGTGGTATTTGCATGTGTGGTGTTTGCCGCAGCAGCTCGGTGGAAGCCGATTTTTCAATTCATTCATTCTCCCGCTTATCGTGCATGTTGAAAGTTGAAGCTGCAGAATGACCGGGAGTACGCTGCGTATTTTGTTTTCATTTCTCTTTTCCAATGGTGAGCTATGCTATACGAGTCTCTCGATAAACGTGGTAGGAAATATGTTATATTCACCGCTCCGCTGTTTTCAAACCAATCGATCTAATTTTTAATATTTGAAGTCTCTGGTTAATACTAATTACGTACAAAAATGAAATCGACTTCTTTCTTTCTACCAAGCTGAACAATGAATCAGATCCTTTGTAACATTGACAGATTCTCTTTGTCGATTTTATCTTTGCATGGCCATAAATATTCATTTCCAGCTAATCGCATTTTGACAAAAGAAGGTATTATCGGCAACGGTTTTGTAGTCAAGTAATTAACCGTTATGTGATCGACAAAAAAAAAACACCTTTAGGAGCTCGACAAGGTACTTCCACAAATTGAAATACTTGCTACTACGGCCAAATTTGACCGATTTTGAATCTTTTGGCACCATAGGATTCAGAAGCTTGTCTTCTTTCTGGACATTGCCAACAATGTCCATTTGGAATAGTCTGGTTCCCAGAAATCCGGATTGTTCCAGAATTAAGCATTTTCTTGCCTTTCGCTAGAATTTTGAAGGAATCGATATCAAAGTAGAATCTCCTTCAAGAAACAATTTCAGCTTACTTGAGGACCAGTTTAAGGTTTCTCCCCGGAACGGCCATTCCGGCGCAGGTTCCCGTAGGGCCTCTAGTGGCCATAGAAGTGTTTGGGAAGAAACCGCTACAATATGGGTATCAAAATTCATGAATTTTCGGAGTAGATTCCCGTATGACCCCTAGTGGCCATAGAAGTGTTTGGGAAGAAACCCCTGCAATATGGGTATCAAAATTCATGAATTTATAGCAGGAATTTTACAGCAGGAGACTGTTTATCATCATTTTGTGATCATCCGATGGATTGTCCTGTAGTTGGTGCCCGTAGGGCCTCTAGTGGCCATAGAATTGTTTGGAAAAAAAAAAACCCCTGCAATGATTTTGCAGATTTTGCTCCACCTCCACCAAAGCAGGTCCGTCCAGATTATTCTTTTGCGTTTGAGTTTGACCTGACTCGAGAACTAATCAAGCAAATGGAACCAAATTAGGCATGTGGGGGCGAGTGTGGGGGTATAAGGAGATAATCATAGGGGGTAGCCCCTTAGATAATAGGGGGGGGGGGCAACGTACAATATAGCATGCTTTTTTAAATCGGCGCATAAACTCAAGCTAATATTGAATCCCGAGCAAGACCGGGCACACTCAGCTAGTTTCCTTATAAAAATCAAAGAGCAGTATGAGATCGCAACCAAATGGGTTCAAATTTCAGGAGAATAGTTAGAAATTATAATCGATTGAGCAGGGTAGAGCAAAATCTATATTTTTAAACACCCTTGTATAGAGGTTAGTCGTGGATTAGCTAAATATAATTTATGAACATTTTCAGCCTGTTGTTTAGGCAACCTAGCAATCTCTAGCGTAAAAAATGTATCGAATTTGAGGGAAAAAACGGTAAAGCATTCGAACTGGGGTCATTTCTTCATTAACTAACAGGTTTGTCCTAATAAAGGGTGGTTAGGGAAATGTTACGTTTATTTTCTTTGCGAGTGGGCTAAAGGGTATCAGAGTATCAAAATTTAATAAAATGTTGCCCTTGGGTAGAGTTTATATTAGATGGAAGGAAAAAAATAGAGTTTATCTCAGCGAATTTCAGTTCAACTTTTCGAGGTTTTCAGAACATCACATGCTATAAGAGTACATAGCTTGAGAACGAATGCTCTTAGAAACAAGGTTGTAGCACAGAGAACAGACGTTCAAGCTCGGTCAGAAACTTGTGTAAAATAAGTGGGAACGTCGCCGTTACGTGGTGTTAGTATCTCCTGATTTTCTCTATAAATTTTCCACTTTCGACCAATTTGCCGCTAGTATCGATAAATTTTCTGTTGAAAATTGCCACTTGGCGCTACTAGCACTTAGTGTCTAGTGTAATTTGTTCAACGCCAGCGCCATCATGTTGTCAAAGAGGGCTTTTAAGTGGGGAAGTCGCCGTTAGTGGCGCTTAAGTCGAATAGGAATCTTTACACAAGTTTTTAGAGAAATTTTGTTCGAGCCTCCATGTCTGTTCTCTGTGGTTGTAGGGTAAAGCAATACTTCGGAATATTGGAAAAATTTCTGTTATACGCGTCACAAGTTTAATTAAAAAAGCTGTGTGTATGGCGCTGTCGGAAGACTGATTTTTGGGGGTTTGCCGAAGTGAAGTGAGGTATGCTGCAATGGAATCGCACCTTATATTTAAATGATGAATAAATTAAGAGTGATACTATCTGCTCACCGCTTTTTCTGCGCTTTCCTTCAATCAATTGAAAAACAGTGGAGACAGGAAAAACAGCGATGAAATAGTGGTGACCACTAGCACAACACCATCCAATTTGTTGAGGGACTACGGTTGAACAAAAATATATATCTTACCAAGGGTTCTTATGACGATTTGGTCTTCATTCTCAAATTGCACGTTAATCCCCAAAATATGACGACCATTTCGCGATGCAGAGTCGATCTTCAGTGAAATTAACTTTCCTCTCATCTCATGTGCAATGTTTTTCTGAATTTTATCAGCATCGATGTTAATGTATTTCTTGGTTTTCCCCGATGAAAAACTGGTACCTAACGCACTAGCTAGCGCGTCAAGAATCGCACGCATTTCGGGCCAGTCAATCGAAGACAAAGGCATATTCCTCACAGCCACAAGCTTCACGCACGAATCGACAATGATGTGTTCATTAATAGCCACGGACGTTTTTTTTTTCATTTTCTTCGATTTTGCTTCCACTTCCTCACCCTCCTTAAAAAAACCCTTTCCTTGGCCAACGCGAAATGTGTACTGCGAAAATTACGCACAAAATTTCCCGCATCAAAATTCTTCTGGAAATATTTACAACTTTCATCACCACTCAACCTACACCACACACCCACGTAATTTTGCACAACCAAATCCTTCGCCAAATCACGAAACTTCCTCTTGCCTGCGATTTTTCTTTCCAATTTCAACCAGTTTCTTATTAAAAACAACACTGCTAAGTTTGCAAACACTACCTGCGCTAGAGGTGACTGCGGAAGAGGTAGAACTGATTTTTTTTTGCAGTCATTCACTACAGCAAACGACAAAGGGAACTTGACCGAAATGAAAATGTGAAAAAAAATCAAGACGAAGCAGAGTGACTAAACGAGAGAGGATTTTTTACGAGAGGGAGCAAAAACTGATTTTTCTACCTATTCGTAAAGCTGTGCATTTGGAATTGACAAATCCAATTTTCAATCGGCAACCGTGGCGCTGCAATCGCAGCGGTGATAAGTCCGAAATAATGTGTCAAACCACAGAGAACAGACGTTGAAGCTCGGTCAAAAACTTGTGTAAAATAAGTGGGAACGTCGCCGTTACGTGGTGTTAGCATCTCCTGATTTTCTCTCTAAATTTTCCACTTTCGACCAATTTGGCGCTAGTATCGATAAATTTTCGGTTGAAAATTGCCACTTGGCGCTACTAGCACTTAGTGTCTAGTGTAATTTGTGCAACGCCAGCGCCATCATGTTGTCAAAGAGGGTTTTTAAGTGGGGAAGTCGCCGTTAGTGGCGCTTATGTCGAATAGGAATCTTTACACAAGTTTTTAGAGAAATTTTGTTTGAGCCTCCATGTCTGTTCTCTGTGGTACAAGGTTCATCCATGCTGACAAGAAATGTGCATGAAATTACATTGAAATTAAACAATTTTGCAAACAATCAATGAAATTGTCAAGGGCTGTCACAGACTTATCACCGTCGGTTAGTGCTTATTCCTGCCACCAGGCGCGCAGGAGTTTAAGTTGGATTTCTCAATGGATCATTTTAGATGGCTGAGTTTTGAACCCACCACAGTTTTCATTTGGCGCTACTGTATACGGACGAACCAATGTAAAATACTGTGGTAGCCACAGTACGGTGCTGTCAAAACCTCAGCATCTTCAATGATCCATTATGAATGCGAAAAGTAGCGTGGAGCAACGGATGGTATACGAAGTACCGCACACAAAGGACTGCTTGAAGTTGAATGAATGGTTATGTTGACTGCTCATGAAAAAAGCCCGACAGATGTGAAAAACTTATTCAAAGAGTAACGTAAGTTTGTCTGTGATTCAGCTATATTTTGATCGGTTGACACATACGACAAATAGTTTTTTGATGAGAAAATGAAACAGGTAGTGGTTCCACATTTTGCCTTTAGGAAGAGTAACCAATGAGCTGTAAACAAGCGAGGTAGTATAAAAATGTACATTTGTTTACGTTTGTTATATACATCCTATTCAAAAAGCACTCCAGAATTATGCTAAGTTTCATGTAAATCGGAGAAGGTTGAATAAAAAATAGTTTTTTTTTTGCTATTTGGTCTGGAACTCATATTTATATATTCAATAACGAAGGGAATATTCCATTCGTGCTGGACATAATTACAGGTGCTCATTATTCCACCCAGCTATTCTATTTTGTAAAATACTGGCAATGAAAAAAAAATCGGCACAATGTGTTAATCGTGGTTAAATGGGACAATTGATTCATCGATGATCGTGCCACGTGTGCACTCTGGAGTCTGAATATCTTAAATGAGCCCTGAAACACCTCACAGCCTTGATCAGTTCCCCAGAAAAACGTCTCGTCAACTTTTTTGCAAATCGAAATTTGTGTGATCTATGGAAAAACCAGAGTTCTTACCACTGTTGAGAGTAGTAATTACAGCAGATATTTTTCGATCGATACCGAGATTTATCCTAACCGACCCTGGTACCAAACCTTTACTAAAACCTCACCGTTTCGTTTACAGATGAAGTCCGCTTGCAACGAGCTGATGTCCCTGTTCGGGAACATTGGCGAAACCGGCTACGGCCAGGGTGAAATAGCTCACATTCTCCGCACCGGCGAACGCACCCTACAGCTGCAGGTCTCCATCATCGTGATGTACGTGGTTCGGGATACCAAGTTGCTCCACAAGCTCCTGTATGATATGAAAATTTTGAACACTGTGATGAACATTATCCTTAACGAGAATGACGACGAAGAGGAGGAACTGTACGAGCAACGGTTGAGCGTGGCTGCCTGTTCCGGGATCACGACGCTGGCGCAAAACCTGTCCATCTGCGGTGAGGAAGAGGACACCGGAACGCCCAGCGAAAAGCTGGAAGCCAAAGAGTTTGACAACACCCTGACGATTTGCAACGAGAGCAACAGCAGCGAGGAGAAGGTTACGTTCAAGGTGAAGAATGCGAGCGGCGCGATGGACAGCGTGCGGGTGAGTAAGAGTTTGCTGATGCAGGGAAGCGACGTCTTTCAGCGCATGTTTGACGGGGATCATTTCATTGAGTCGAAGAATAATGAAGTGTATCTAAAGGAGAACATCAGCGTGGACGGGTTGAAGTACTTCTTCTACCTGATAAGGCTGCAGACGGTTAATAAGCTAACTGGGATGGCACCACCTCCGAAGCTGATCGAAGCCAGCTTGGATGCGCTTAGTCTTTCGCAGAAATATCTGCTTCCCGGCGTGGAGCGGTCGGTGCAGAATATCGTTAAAACGTTGCTGAATGACGATTGCGTATTGAATGTGTTCGAATGGTCGTTGAGGAACTACAACCAGGAGCTGTTGGATGCATCTACTTATTACTTCTTGTACTCGGACATAAGTGGAGCAGCTAAGTGCAAGCTGTTCCGATCGGCGAATAAGTCCATTTACAGGAAGGAATGGCGCCGATTGATGAACGAAACTATCCTATGTCGAGTGCAGCCGAACGTAGAGTAGTAGCAAGCACGTGTTCGCGAGGAAGCTTTTATTTTTTACACTGTTTCCTATTACATTAATAGAACTGCTACTGGTTAGTCATCTTTGCTTATTTGTAATATGAAATATTTATTCGCATTGTATACGTTATGTGAACGGTCTTAGTTAATCATTTCGAATGTATATTTTACACATTCCAGCAAATTATAAAGCTACTTGTGAATAATTGTCATAATCCCACACCAATTAACTCTGCAATTGCTGCAGTTCATTTGATGCCGAAATATCCCTGTCTGCCGACTTTGGAGTTGGAGGTCCAACGTGTAGATGGTTTTCTTTGTGTCCGTACTGGAAGGCAACGCGCAGTTCACCGAAACGACACTTGGGAAGCACCCCCGGAATCCACTCGATGCTAAAGTAGTGTAGCTTTTCGCTAGGATCGCTCCGATGCGTTCCCATTTTGATGTAGGTTTTGTACTGGAACGGTTTAATTGCGACAGTCTTCTTGCCGTTCTGTGCTGTTTGATCGTGATTCGTAACTGCATCGTCGCTGAGATCTATTTCCTGGAAGGTACCGGCGGAGGTGCGACAGAAAGATTTTTCGAATTGAAAGGCTATCTGTAAAATTGACAGGTTTGTATTTTGCTGTTCGTAGTTGTAGAACTTTCGACCAACCTTATCAGTCTTAAGTACGTTTCTCAGACTTTTGTAACAGGTAAACTTGTAGATGTGACACGTCAACCCGGTTCGGGGACCTTCCATCAGTATGACACTATGATCGGGCGTTCTTAGTCTATGGCCAACGGAAAATCGAGCTCGAAGACACTGGAAAAAGTTCTGCAGAGGAGAGTAAAAATAGACTAAATTGACCGAACAGTTTTTATCGACTTACCTCATGAATACTGAAGATCTGCGTTGCAGGTTGCCCGTCCCCATCGTAATGTATCACAGAATTTAGCTAAAAGATTAAGATAGCATTAATTCAGACAAAAAAAAAATCAAACCACATTGCCAACTCCTACCTGTTCTATCACAGACTCCAACCAACTGGTAAAAGTCAAATTGCACAGCGTCGCCTCGAACGACGGTAGGGAACCATTTGGATTAGCAGCAACGGCAGGACTAGTAGCTGCCGCCACCACCGCCATTGCACTAGCTTCCGTCTTGTTCAACCTGTTGAACACAACCCCATTCGATTCTAGCACCCGCATCAACCGCCGCACATTGTAGCTGCCCTTCTTCATTTTCTCTTTGGCTATCTTGCTGGATTGTCTCAAGGCAGCCTTTTTCGTTGTCACTTCCAACAGTTTCAACTTCTTCATCTTTGTTGTCGTTGCCGTCGCGGGGGCTTGTTTCGATTCCGCAACTGCCGAGGGTTCCTCCGCCGGTTGAACCGCCAACCCGAGCTCTTCGTCAGCTGGGAATACGACATTATCGTCACTAAGCTCGATATCCGACGGGCAGAAATCGATCTGATCCGTTAGGTTAAACTGATCCATCAGTTCAATTTGGCAATCCATCAGCTGCAGATTTTCGTCGTAACAGGGTGCAAACGCCTCCGCGGCTGAGATACTATTTTCCGTGCTGTTTATCAGCTCAATGACCGGCGAGTTGGAAACGTTTTCCTTCTTGCAGGGTTCGTCGAAGTCTGCCGTTGCGAGATCTGCTTCAAACTGAAGTCTACAACTGATCAGTTGCATATTAGAATTGGTCAGCATAGAAGGATCGTCAACAATTGTTACGAGGAATTGATCCGTGCTTTCCAGGTTTGGACAGTCATCCGGCGAGAGTTCGTTTTGCAGAAGGCCCAAGCTGTTGTCGCAAAACTGACTCGATGGTGGTAGCAGTAGCTGTTTAACAATATCTTCGTATACCGACTGGTATTGAGGACTACTGAGGACGGCAGCAGCTACAGTTTTCTGATGGACCATGTCCGGACTTTGGCAGTCACAGATGATACTGAAATGAACCAGCGTTGTAACTACAACATGTTGTAACAAGTATTGAAAAACACAAACCTAGAAGGCAGCTTCAGTTCCACGTGGCAGTACGGGACCAACTGGTGCGGATCATCATCATAGCATTTGACCACAAACGTATCGAAGGATATCCTTTGAACCAACGGATCATCCTCACCGCTGTTCATCTGATGCTTCCATATGCCTACCCTTTCCACGTTCGTAGCATTCAACCTCTGCAGCACTTCCTTTCGAATCGGCAATGCTTCTGCCATCTCACTGGTAGCCGCAGCAACGCGAACATGCTGGCAAGTTCCTTCCAAGTCCGTATGGGGTTCACAGTCCACATAACAAATGCCCGTCTTCAATTCCAATTGCTCATCAGCCCCGTCCACACAGTCTCGTATTTCTACAAATCCTCGATCCTCTCTTGCCCCATTTAGCTTTCGAACGCTGTAAAGCTTGGCAGATTGTTCCTGTAGTCCGGATTGCAATTGTACCCCAACAAGTTGGTCGCATGTGTCGATGATTTTCCCACTGTGTCCCGCAGCAGCAGCAGCTGCGGCTGCGGCTGTATTCAGGATCTGACGACACTGCTTGTTCTTGCACTGCACTGCGCGATGTCCATTGGAGGTGCCACATTTGGGACACTTTCTGATACCCCGTTTGCTCCAACGGGATTCCAGCTTAAAGGGCATCGCGGTTTCGATGGTGATTAGTTGAATTTCACATTCAGAAACGTGATAAGCTTTAAAAAGCAAGCAGCAAAAACAGCCCCCAACGGGAGTTTGCTTCGATTTTGCTTTGTTTACATAAACATTTACACTGGCGTTGATGTCTGTCTCTGAAGCGGGCACTATCTTTACACGCTTACTTCAGCTTACTCACCGGGTGAGTCGATCGTACTCAATTTCGTCTGATACATTGAAGAATCAAAATGACGACTAGCATCTCCTAATTTTGTCTGTAAATTTTCCACTGTCGACCAATTTGGCGCTAGTATCGATCAATTTTCTGTTGAAAATTGCCACTTGACGCTACCAGCACTTAGTGTCTAGTGTAAATTGTGCCACGCCAGCGCCACCAGGTTGTCAACGAGGGTTTTAAGTGGGGAAGTCACCGTTAGCACAGAGAACAGACATGGAGGCTGGAACAAAATTTCTCTAAAAACTTGTGTAAGGATTCCTATTTGACTTCTGCGCCATTAACGGCGACTTTCCCACTTAAAAATCCTCTTTGACAACATGATGGCGCTGGCGTTGCACAAATTACACTAGACACTAAGTGCTAGTAGCGCCAAGTGGCAATTTTCAACCGAAAATTTATCGATACTAGCGCCAAATTGGTCGAAAGTGGAAAATTTAGAGAGAAAATCAGGAGATGCTAACACCACGTAACGGCGACGTTTCCACTTATTTTACACAAGTTTCTGACCGAGCTTCAACGTCTGTTCTCTGTGACTTAGTGGTCTTAGAGTTACCTCTATGGTTATACCGTGTCAGCGGGCCCAGCACAGAAAAATAAACGATTTGAGCCTGGGACATGCTGCCTACTGTCACAGAGAACAGACGTTCAAGTTCGGTCAGAAACTTGTGTAAAATAAGTGGGAACGTCGCCGTTACGTGGTGTTAGCATCTCCTGATTTTCTCTATTAATTTTCCACTTTCGACCAATTTGGCGCTAGTATCGAAAAAATTTCTGTTGAAAATTGCCACTTGGCGCTACTACACAGCAAAAAAAGTTGTTGAATATTACATCGAAACTGCTGCAACCAGGTCAATCCATCGGTTGTGTAATATCACATTGTACGATGTACATCGATTTTGCGAACAAAATTACATCCATTGATGTAATATTGTATCTGCTTTTTGCTTTTACATCATTATTTCATACATCAGCTTGAATTACGTTGATCGATATTACATTTTTTTTTGCTGTGTAGCACTTAAAGTCTAGTGTAATTTGTGCAACGCCAGCGCCATCATGTTGTCAAAGAAGGTTTTTAAGTGGGGAAGTCGCCGTTAGTGGCGCTTTAGTCAAATAGGAATCTTTACACAAGTTTTTAGAGAAATTTTGTTCGAGCCTCCATGTCTGTTCTCTGTGGTCGTAGGCAGTACCGTTAGTATATTTAAAATTAACCACCAACCGCTGAAAATATGAATTATCGCGTATTTCTGTTGTTCATTACATGCCAAGTAAAATTCGAGAACGTAATTTCATTTGAATAGCTTGTTCAATCAGGTCTTAAACAATCGTCACGTCGGTCATAGCTTGTTATGATTACCTGAACCATGCGTAAAGAGAAAATCGAAACATTTAACGTCGCGTGAAAATGGATCTTAATGAAGGCCTCTTTCATAGCTTTTAGTTTAAGGATTTCAAAGATCGTCGGTTGCAGTGGCTTGCTTACTGAGCAGAAAAACGCGGTCCCAAATCCTTTCATATTAAAAATGTATGGTTAGATCGCTTGTTTATCGTGTATTTCGTAAAATTTTTTGTTGTCGTCGGTGCCGGGTCTGAATAGTCATAAAAACTTGAATAACGCTATAATGTGATATGAGGGGCTCGATGGCCTTAGAGCAACCGGTTTTGCTTACTGAGCAGAACATCATGAGTCTAATCTCAGGCCCATCCACATTCAAGATTCGTCAATCGTTTTATTTGTTAACATTACTACATGGTAATAACAGCAACTCTATGATAAAAAAGGAGCTCGTCTGCCTAGTGGCAAACGTTTTTGCTTACTGAGCAGAAGACCGTGGGTTCAATCCCAAGCTCCTTCGCGTTATATGATTGTTAGGACATCAATTCAGCTTATCGTTTACCAAAACGAACCCTGCTGCAAACCCAAACCTCTTATCCAACATCCCAGTGATTCCTCGTGGAAGTGCAGAGGTGTTCTCGGCTTCCATCAAAGCGAGTGTCATGTCAACACATTCCTACCCGTTCCTTTCTTGACCTGTGTTCGGGCGCGGCCGGCGCTGGTATTGCCTAGTTTGAGATCACCAGTTTTTACACATTGAGGATGATTGCTAGTCCCAAGCATCGTCTATTGGTTCTCTGTGTAATTACAGCTGGTCTGGCAATAACAGAGTAGCAACCGTGGGCGGTCAATCATGCTCATGCTCAACGTGAGAAAATTCCTAGAGCACCACTCTTCGAAAATATCGATCAGGTGCTGCAACCGCAGGCAGTCAGTGAAGCATCGCACAACCACGTACATCTTGACATCGTCTGCATAGAATGAGGTTTGTTGAGACCGAACGTTTGGGGTGGAAACCATGTTGGTCAGTGTAGAGTTGATAAACGTAAATATGGCAACCATTCTCCACCCCCGGAAGAGACCTATGTATATCGAGCGGAAGAATCAAGGAGAGTGAGAGAGAACGGACGACGACAAACGAGCGCCTCGGTGTAAGGGAGATTTATTGAGGCAGAAGCCGATGAACGATTGTTGCGACTGGTAGCACAGAGAACAGACATGGAGGCTCAAACAAAATTTCTCTAAAAACTTGTGTAAAGATTCCTATTCGACATAAGCGCCACTAACGGCGACTTCCCCACTTAAAAACCCTCTTTGACAACATGATGGCGCTGGCGTTGCAAAAATTACACTAGACGCTAAGTGCTAGTAGCGCCAAGTGGCAATTTTCAACCGAAAATTTATCGATACTAGCGCCAAATTGGTCGAAAGTGGAAAATTTAGAGAGAAAATCAGGAGATGCTAACACCACGTAACGGTGACGTTCCCACTTATTTTACACAAGTTTCTGACCGAGCTTCAACGTCTGTTCTCTGTGCTGGTAGTGAATAAAACGGTCTGTTAAAGTTAAAGTGGTTAAACGAGTTTTATTGGCGAGTTCCGAAAGTGTTCCTTCTGGTGAATTCGATTGTTGCCTCCTAGAGGGACTCTACAATTTGGCGCAGCCGAACGGATTAATCAAAGTAAGTAGGATTTAATGAATAAAATGGATGGGGATTTTTTTTATGTATTTGACATGGTTAAGTTGACACGACGCAGTTTCGGACGTAGGGAAGAGCAGCAGCTATTTTGTTGTCGTATGAAAACGGAGTGTATGAGTACTGGGGTTAAGTTGTGTCAATTTTGTTAAATTGAGTGATGGTAGAATTTTTTTTTCTCGTTTCAAAGTGCAATTTGAAAAGCCGTGAAGGTATGAAGTGAGTGTGGTAAAGGTAAAATGGCGGAATCACTAGTGCATAAGGCGCATACACACACAAATACAAGATGATGCGAGTCCGGTGGTAAACCGTAGCGCACACGAACACAAAAGATGCGAGCCCGGCTGAAGACCGAAGCGCACACCAACACAAAAAGATGCGAGCCCGGCTGAAGACCGAAGCGCACACCAACAAAAAAAGATGCCAGCCCGGCTGAAGACCGAAGCGCACACAAACACAAAAAGATACGAGCGCGGCTGAAGACCGAAACGGTCAGTATGCGTTGCCTAGTATTGCCCTGATGATGCGAGCCTAGTGGAAGACCGAAGCACACTCTGATGTGGGAAAAAAGATGCCTGATTGGCGTTGACGGCACCGTCGAAAAATTCGCTCTTCCAGCAAATATAGACAGTTTCTTATGGGAATTTTCGGTGGAGTGAAAGGATAGTACAAAGTCCGCCATGTTTCACGCACAGTCTGACGTTTGCTTATGGATTTTCTCATAGGAGTAAAGAGTTACAGAGTCGCCGTCAACGCCAATTAGGTGCAGGATGAAGTGTACGTGATGAAGAGCAGACTGTGTGATATCGTGCGGATGGGGAAGACAGAGCAAAACAAAGTTAATCGATTGTTTTACAACATCCTACGTAAATCAGTAGGGAGACGAATTGTGGATATTATCAAGAAGTAAGAAATTTTAGGTCGTTATTTCAGTGTGAAAATTTATTCCAAATCGATCATCTCATTTGCACTTCACGGAAACAGTACCTTGTAAAACATGATCCATTAATGGGACAACGTTTATGGTTATTTCAGATGGACTTTGACAAGCATTGTTCATTGGAACCATTCAACGATGCCGTTGACGCTTCGGATCTTCGACGAGAATGGGAAGAGTGGCTGAGAGCGTTTGAGCTCTTTCTGGAACTAAAACAAGTAAACAGTCAACATGAACGACTGGTCCTCATGCTTGCTCGAGGTGGTCGAGGCCTTCAGCGTATTTATTATAACCTGCGGCCAGTGTCCGGTGAGATTCATCCGGAGCCAGCAAAAGTTCCGTTTGCTCCACAAGAAACTCCCGAATACGATAACGCCGTCAAACGTTTGAACAACTTTTTCGTTGGTAAGCGTAATGAGAGAGTCGAGCTCGAAGTCTTTCGTTCGCTGAAGCAATCCCCCGATGAGTCGTTCAATCAATTCATCCTCAAGCTTCGCATGCAGGCCACCCGATGTGACTTCCGGGATCGTGAGGAGAAAGAGATTTTACAGCAAGTAACGATGGGTGCTCGGGATGATAGAGTCAAGGACAAAGGTCTCGAGGACGTTATGGGCCTAGATGAGCTGACGAACTACGCCATCAATAGAGAAATCTTGATGAAGCAAAAAGAGAAAATACATCGGTTCAAGCTTGATCCCGAGGCTCCCAGTGTTTCCGCAGTAAAGCAGATGTGGGATCGAAAACCTCAATCCAAACAAGGATCGTTTGGATCGCCGACGTTTAAACGTGAGAAGCCTTGGAATACAGGTAATCGCTCTCGAGTGGAATGTGATCGTTGCGGTTCTTGGAAACATGACAGGGATTCACAAGGTTGTGTCGCCC